GATCACGCCCCTGACGTTGAAAATGGACACACCTTCGTAAACACCATCGATCTCGTCCTCCACTTTCGTGTCAATGCCGTCGAGTCGAGTAGCTTTGGTGGAGTACGTGAAGGGAACTCTGCATTTTCCCCTGGTACACTCCTCTGCCACCTTGGCCTGGAGCAAGAAAGAAAGGGGAAAAGAATCAAATTGAATGAGCCTGAGGCTTGAAAACTTTCTCGCCGCTCCTCCGGGAGGCACGTCTTTAATGAGATAGCCGGACTGGAACGTAAGCAGGGTGGTCATCTCCTTTCCGAGCTCGGTCTCGGTGGTTTTCTCCACCCCGACTGTGACGGTGGCTTCTACGGAGGCGATCTCGGGGATTCCAGCGCTCACGGTCAGGCTGGTTTCCAGTCCCACCGTCTGGGACGTCATCCAGCGGTTGCTCGTTGATACGGACTCGGTGAAGCTGACTTAAACCTGGAGGTCGGCGTTCTGGCCAACCGTTGTTCACCACCGAGCCTTGGCCGACGATCAGAGGACGGATATCCGTCACCTCCGCAAGCCCGAGCAGGTACTTCACGTTGAAGATGTGCTTGTTGCTGGATCCCTCATAGACAATGAAGTGTGTCGCAGCGTTGTCGACATTCGTGGCGGTGGCCTTGAGCTTGTGGTCCTTGTCACTGCGGATGACAAAGAGGTCGGAGTCGTCTCCGACGCAGCGGATGGTGATCATGTTCTTGCTCACTCTGGATGCGTTGAAGTGGCATCGGGGATCCTTGAGAGCGGCTTCTTTTTCTCTGTCTGCGATGATCCAGCTATCGTTGCCAGTGTCCCGGCGCCAGAAGAGCTTGCCCGTAACGCTCTGGAAGATAAAGTTCCCGTCCACAAGTGGCGTGGCCTGGAAAGCTCCCTCGAGCTCGCGGCTGTCCATGTTGCACCGCAACGACCATCTCCCGAAGACTTGAGCATTAAGAAAGTCGGGAAGTTGAGAGCAAGGCTTTCGGCGCTCTGCACTTCGGCCGCTGGGAAAACGTCGAGACCGTCGATTCTGGACTTGATAACGATCTTGTTCTTGGCATCGGGAGCTTCGACGATCTGGAAATGATAAGCTTTGTCGCTTGGATCCTTGGGCTCTTCATGGTCTGACGGAATTGTTCCTGGCGAAGAATTGTCGTAAAATCTCCTCCAGAAGCGGCTGTTTGGAGCACGGATCATCACCATCGAATCCGAGTTGTCTTTGGAGTTGTAGAGAGCTTCATATGTTGAAAGACGGGTTCTCTCCTTGGAGGAGAAGTTGAAAGGGAGGTAGTTCAAAACAGCACTCAGTGTCAGGTAGTTCCCTTCGGCATTTTTCAGCGTGAAGTAGTGTGGGAGCCTCACTGGTTTGGTGTTGGACGTCATCCCTCCTTGTGATCTGCAAACCAAGAAAATTGTTACCGAGAGTAAAGCATAAGAGCAATGCATGGAGCAACTTACAGCTTGAAATGCAATAGGATGATGTTGTATGAAGACTAGCAGCTAAAATTTATACAGCGGCAGAAGCATCTTGTGACAAGATGGCCACAAGCGCTAGCAACAAAACGTCAATATTGATTTTGCGTGATTCAATAGAAGGATCGCAAAGAAAAAACGCCGAATCGTACCGTCAACTTTAAATGAATGATACATAACACCTTCTCAGAGTATTACATTCCCTCAAGGGTCATCCTCTACAGATTCACACTGTAAGAACATCATAAACACGTGCTTACTTGGTCGAGCTCTCAACGGTTCTGCCATCTATCTTGGTCGCCAGTCCCTTTGGCAGCTTCACAGTTTCTCGGATCATAACCAGGTTGATCTGCTATTGGATTCTTGTCTAGCACCAGCAAATCTGCGTAAGCTCCCTCCAATCTGGCTATCCACTGCGCACAAGTACTTGTCGCAGACTTAAGAATCGCTATAGGAGACCGCACGCGTGATCGTAGAGAAAACTCCTCGAGCACCATCACCACCAAGAGCTGGATTTGCTGGAGCAGCAACGTATGGATATTCAGATCCTTCCTTGTGGAATCCAAGCGTCTGATCGCGCAGCTTCTCACAGCGGTGCTGCTGCTCCTTGTGTTGACGATCTTGTCCAGCAGTGGAAAAACGAACCTGGTGAGCGGATAGACGCCTCCGTGATCCTTCCCACGATCAAGATCAAGACGAGGAGCATGAAGACGACGACGAGGAGCTCCAGAAGAAGGCCACGCAGCAGGGATGTGATGCCGTGGTCGTGAGCGAGGAGGATTCAGGTATTCTAGACATTAGCTTCTCCCGCCTGGGGTCGGATCAATACCACCGTCGCTGCGAGCGATCGACGAAAATCGATGGCCTAGCGCATCAAGATCCGCGCGAGAGAGAAGAGCGAAGGTGTAGCGCTCCTCGTCATGCTCGAGCCACGGACCGGGATTCGAACCCCCCACCGTAGACTCTACGAAAAAGGCGTATAATAAACTAGAAAGAGATTTATAGTAGCCGTAGAGTACGACTCCGGGCTTTGTTAAAGAGAATAAACGAGAGAACGCCAGGTCTCATGTAAGTATTAGATGTACGTATGGAAACTTATTTTTCCATGATTTATCCATACTAGCCATCCATTCCTCTCCTAATTTTAGGGGAGCTGAGTATATTCTAAAACCGATACGAGACAACGAGTTTGAGCAAGATCATAGCATTAGTTTTACAGTGAAGAGAGTTCTACTTCTTGAGTCGCTGGCCTGTAGGCAGCAAAAGTTCCATCCACCGAGAACGATCCCGGACTAAAGGCCGTGACGCCCATATACTTGAAAAGCTTTTGCTCCGTGCGGTCGCCTAGAACAATCTGGAAAGATTGGGAGCATAGATCAAGGACGAACAGGAAAGGATCCTCCAACACACTTACAGTGTGAGGCGTTGGATAGAGCCGCATGGCGTGATCATACTCCCAGACAATGGGCTGCGAAGTTAGTGGTAGAGGACACAGGTGACTTTGATGTGTGATTGTCGCTACAAGCTGCAAGAAATGGAGTTTATGGAGCAGGAAAAACGATGGCAAAGGGGACTTACGTGCTCAAATGGCTCTGTTGTCTCCTCGTCTGACGGTGTAACAATGCATAGCCTTCTCATGCGGTACAGCAAGTTCTCCCTGAAGAGAACTATCTCCTGCGAGAAGAAGCGAATCCTGCGTGATACTCGTTATCCTAAAGTCAGCATTACACAAAGAGTTACCTGCATGGATTACTTGCAAAGGTCACATTGGGGACGTGCTTGGCCAGCTCCTTTGTGAAATAGCTCGGCAAGGCAGGCCTCGGAAGAACGCTACTCGGGCCTGGACAATTGAGTTAGCAAACCAGGAAGTCATACAAAACAAAACGATACCTGGATCTTCAGGACCCGGGATTAGGACAAACTTGCTGGTCGAGCTGATCCGAGTATGTGACGCGATTAATGTGCCGAGCTTATCAAAGTGCGAACTATACTGCCAAACAATGTAGCACATGAAGAGCAAAGCTTATGTTTAAAACTTGAAAGTACCGAAGCTCCCCAAAGCTATGGAAAGAGAGATTGCAAGGGCGTGACAAAAAATTTCCCATGAGTATAAAGACTGATGGCACAACGTCAACGTTTTCAAATCCATCCAGCACGACCTCAAGATTTCGCATAGTCTGGATACCAACAAACAGAAGAGTATGTGAGAAATTTGGGCAGGAAAATACGTTACCTGTTCATCGTCCAGCCACACGTCAGAGATAACAACAAACATGTCGTTAACAGCTTTGCGTTCCAGCACTTCTAGTCTGCTCTACAAACAGCCATTAAGGACACAAAGAAGGAATCAAGCAAAAAAAGGATACGATCTCATCGTAAGAAAGCGCTCCTGCGCCGAAGAAGTCGAGCCCAGCCGTAACACTTAACGAGATGTTTCTTCCTTCCAATGGAGGGAAGCCACACGTAGAGATCTGTCGAAAGTTGCGCTTCAGGAAGTGAGTCTTTTAAAACAAGGAACGAACCTGAAAAATGCCGTTTGCTTGCAGCAATCCTTCCGCAACAATTATGCAGTTCTCCGTTAGAAATCCTGACGTGATCTTGTGCGAAATTGCAAGTTAAAAAAAACAAAAGCTCTGCTTATCGTACAAACAAAACTTTCCAAAGGATATAGCTTGCGAAAGATCAATCGGTATTGTAGCAGACAAGTCTTCCAAATAATAGCGGCCGTCTTCCAGTTGGGAGACGATCCCCATAACCCATCTTCTGCCAATGCATCCTAGCAGCGATTGCAACGACGACAACTGCATTGAGCGTTTTAAGAAAAGACGTAGAAGAAAAGAAAGAAAGAAAAATAAGCAAACCTCACAAGTCCCCGATCGGCTTCCATCCATGTCAAATGCAGGCTTTGCAAAGTGTCTATCTCTGATAAGACGTTGATGTAGCAATTGGAGCCTATCTTTGTAAAGAGCAGATTTGGATCGAGCATCACCGTGAACGGAAGGTGTTTTGTTATACCTGTAGAAGCGTACAAAAGGAGTTTCGAAAAAGAAAAGAAAAAAGAACCCAGTGACAGCGAGAAAACTAAGAAATCCAAGCGAGAGATCGTTACCTGTAGAACATTTTTCGTATTGGATCGTAGCAAAATCTTGGAAGCTTGAAGGCATCGACAACAATAAGAGCATTCTGCTCGCTGCTAGTCACGCCTGTGGCCGCTGAAATGAGTTCCACCGCTGCTTCCTTGGACAGCACATTGCTCTTCACTGAAATCATCTATGAGACAGGCCGCTAGCAAAAAGAAGAACAACTCACGGGAGATTTTGTCGACCTCGGCCAGAAGATGCTGGAGCGCCTCCTCGTCCGGCAAGTATTGCTCATCTAGGAAGCCAAGAACAGCCTTGAGCGCATCCACCGAGAGGGTTAGTCCCCGGAGCTTGAACTTCAGCTGCGCCTTGCGCATTCGCTGCTGCTGCTCCATCGCCAAAATCCCTGCTTTAGAACCCTAACCCCAACCAATTGGCGGGAAAACGTAGCCCTAAAATTCAAATGATGCCATTTAAGGTTTAATTATGATCCCATTAAGATAAGTGAGAGCACTTGGCTCAAATCGTATCCTTGAAACTGCCATCCAAACAACTCTGTTGGAAGATCAAGAAAAAAGGCTGGTGCTACTTACACTGAGTGCTGTGAGCGCTACCACCACTCCAGAATTCCAGGTCGCGTGGATTAGAATTGGCGTGAGCATGTTGTGTGTCTTAGAGTACGCAAAACCGATGACAATGCCTGTGTGGGAAGTGTCAGCAATGGCAATCCACTTGATTTCTTACCCAACGCAAAGAGCTGTGGAAATTCTCCCGGAGTTAGATGAGCGAGAGCAAACGCAGCGGCGCTCAAAACCACGGCAACTGGAACTGGCAACCTGAGAATCCAGTAGTGTAAGATCGTGTAAAAGCACAGTTTTTCACCTCTTAGTTAGAGATGTCAGGAGAAAGCCGCGGAAAACAGTCTCTTCTAGCAGTGGAGCCAAAGCACCGGTCACAACAATCAATGACGCTGTGCTACAAAAATGACCAGCGAATCAATCACAACACATCCAACTGAGAAACCTCGTTGCTAACCTTAATGGCGAGACACCAATGAGCGGAAGCAACTGTGATAGCGCATCGTTGTCCTGACAAAGATAAAAACCGAAATCAATTGTGCATTGGGATATAGCAACCAAGAACCAACCTCCCGTGGTGGCAGTTCACCATTAACAGATGAAACGATGATACTGGTTAGAACCACAGCTCCACCAGCGCAAAGTATGCCAATTCCAGACCAAAGCAGCCATCCTCGCTGCAAATCAAATGGTTTTCTAAAATCTAAAGTCGTGTTAAGCGTAACTACGAAGGAGAGAAACGATAAAAGCATACCATACACGAACATGTCGGAAGGCAAAGGCTGGTACTTGGTTGTAACGAGATTGATGGTGCCAAGTCCTGTAATTGTCTGCAAACTTCACAGGCCAAGTTTCATGAAAGATTGATCGCAACTTTTCTAACTCCTTACACTTGGCTGAAAAGTATGAACGCAGCTTGTTCGTCCATGTCGAGGATTTCTCTTCTATCGATCCCCAGATTATGACCGAGCACTGCCGTAGCCAAGCCTGTCACAAAAAAGCTGCGCTTGTAGTGTCATCGATCAACAAAAGCAATCAGGAACAAGCTTTGATTTCTACCGACCTGACCAGCCAACCCAGCAATCCCAGCGTTGTCACTCCATACCCCCACGGAACGTCCCACCCATCAAGCCGGAGAATTTTCAACGCTAGGCTCTACACAAACCAAAGATTGTAGACTACGAGAAGAGAAACGACAAGAATTCGTGTAGCTTACCTCATTGTCCCCATCAGGAGCATTTCCTTTGCGATTTCCAGTCGCTCCAATTCTTTCCCGATCGGGACGACGAGACACTGCTTCTCTCGCCCAAGGCGCTGGAGCGGCAGCCGCATTAGCGTAGCTGACGCGAAAGGAATGAAATGCCGGTCCCCTGGAGAGCTGGAATTTGAGGTGAGACGAAGGAGACGCCGTGAGCGCCATCGCCAACGCCATAGCCATCGCGCCTAGAGCCCTAATCGCTTTTTTAAATTATAAACGTTCTTTGAGATTTACACACACAAAGTACAGTTTTTACTATTTACCATGCTAGTGGTGGTGAAATGAAGCCTCGTACGAAATTGGCGGCGGCTTGGGAAGATCCAATGGTGGCTCTTTGTACGAGAACGGTGGCGGCTTTGGAAGATCGAACGGTGGTTCTTTGTAGGAGATTGGCGGCGGCTTGGGAAGATCCAATGGTGGCTCTTTGTACGAGAATGGTGGCGGCTTTGGAAGATCGAACGGTGGCTCTTTGTATGAGAATGGCGGAGGCTTTGGAAGAGTAAACTCTGGCTCATTGTACGAGAGTGGCGGTGGCTTTGGAAGATCAAACGGTGGCTCCTTGTACGAGAATGGCGGAGGCTTGGGCAGCTCATACGGAGGTTCTTTGAACTCGAACGGTGGCGGCTTTGGAAACTCGAGTGGAGGATGGTGGAAGTACTCGTTCTTCATTTCGGTGGCTGCTCCGACCAGTGTGGACCTCGCGGCAACAGTGGCAGCAGCTCCGAGGAGGATTGTCAACACCGAAATCCAGAGAAGAATCGCAGAACCACCACCGACACCATTCGCAGAAGTTCCCATTCCTTGTATTTCTAGATCTTCTCGGGACCTACACAAAAGCACCAAAAGCACTGTGGATCAGCGCCGGGAAGGAAGCGAAGCGATTGACAAGAAAGGAAAGAGCTTTTGAGCCTTACCCGGACGAGTCCGAGAAGTTTATGCGAGTGGCTGCCACAGATCCTCCGGGCTAGCCATATAAGCGGACAGTTTTTGGTTGCGAGTTTCCCATCATGTCGCTGGAGCAAGGCGACACAAAGTTTCAAGCTGGACGTCCTTTGGGAAGATGCCCTCTGCAACCACGAGAGACGATTCACATGGAAAGTTAGCTAGCCCGCAGCGCAGAGCGTACTTACCTCCAGAGCACGGAAAGAGAGACCTGCATAGCGAAAAAGCCTGCAATGTCCAACATACTCGAGTCACCATCACGTACTTAAAACGCATTGATCGAAGCAACAACGAACGAAAAGAAAGAAAGAAAGAAGAAAAAATCTCACCTTGTTTTTTTTCTTTGCTTGATCAGAGCTCTCATCCGGCTGGCTTGAGAAAAGTCGGGGTCAAAAGCCAGTCCTTGCTGATATCACGAGTGCCCACTCGTCCCTAAACAAGCATCGCTATTTAACAGTCAAAAGTGACCGCCACCATTTCGTGTCTGCACCAAACCCACGTATATAAAAAAGTTAGCTGGGAAGCTCACGAACATTTGTGGATCCAGCATACCTCGGAGTGATGATGGCTCCTCGATCTCCTCCTCCTCCTTGCTTTCACTGTTCCTTCTCTTTTCCTTCCTCTTCGATCGCAGTGTTCTTGTTCCTGGCAGTGTTGCTTCTCTCGATTTGCAGAAGCACTTCGGCAGATGATCAGCAGCAGCAGCAGCAGCAGGAGTTGCTCGTTCCCGGGTTTTACCACTCGACTTGTCCCCAGCTGCAAGACATTGTCCAAGCCGGCGTCGAGAAGGCTGTGGAGAACGAGACGAGAATGGCGGCCTCCCTGTTAAGGCTCCACTTCCACGACTGCTTTGTTAACGTGAGTTTCATGCGTAGAAGTCTCTTCTTCGTGAGCGAGCTTCGTTTCTGCAGGGTTGTGATGGCTCGGTGCTGCTCGATGACACTCCCACTTTCACTGGCGAGAAGAATGCTGTCCCCAACAAAAACTCCATCCGAGGCTTCGAAGTGATCGACCAGATCAAAGCTCGTGTGGAGAGTGAGTGCCCCGGACTAGTCTCCTGCGCTGATATCATCGCTATAGCTGCCAGAGACTCAGTAGTGCTGGTAAGTAGTCACCTAATCTACTTTCTCAAAAGCACCACCTAAGTACCTGTTTCCACTCTTTAATCTTTCTTCCTTTTCTCGATCGTGTAGGCTGGAGGTCCTTCGTGGGAAGTTCTTCTCGGACGGAGAGATAGCTTGACAGCAAGCCAGGCAGCAGCGAATGCGTCAATCCCTTCTCCAGCTTTGGACGTTCCGGCATTGACGAAATCCTTCCAAAACGTTGGCCTGACACTGCAAGACATGATCACACTCTCAGGTAAGTTCTCCACAACAAGAACAAAGAAACAAAACTTAGAAGAGAAGCTTACCTTGATCACACTCCAGGCTCGCATACCATCGGCCAGGCTCACTGCTTCACGTTTACTCAGCGTCTCTACAACCAGAGTGGAAACTTTCAAGCCGATCCATCCATGGACTCGCAGTTCCTGCTGGCTCTGAAGCAGCTCTGTCCGCAAGGAAATCCAAATCCCAACACTCTGGCCAGCCTCGACTTGAGCGATCCCACCGTCTTCAACAATCACTACTTCGACAATCTCATGCGCGGAGAGGGCCTCCTCAACTCGGACCAAGTCCTCTTCACCACCACCGGGATCACGCAAGAGTTCGTGGAGCTCTTTAGCAAGGACCAACACGCCTTCTTCGCGAACTTCGCCATCTCCATGGTGAAGATGGGCAACATCAAGCCTCTCACTGGCAGCGAAGGAGAGATCCGTAGAGACTGCCGAGTCGTGAATCCCAATCACGACATCTCTCCTTCTTCCCCTGTTCCTGTTCCTCCAGAGACCGCGCTGCCACCGCCGCCACCACCGCCGCAAGACACCGGTGATCTCGCCGCTCCACCCCCGCCACAATTCCCCGAAGATCCTTCGTTCCAATTCCCTCCTTTTCCACCGTTCCCGTTCTAAGCTAGCCAAGAACACTGTGTCGATAGTCAAATTCTTTCTTCTTGTGTGGAGTTGTGAAAGATTTTCCTCAATGCAAGCGATTGATCGATGGAATCCAAGCGATCCACGCATGCGATGCTGCAATGCAAGTGATCAATGGATTGCAAACCTGGATTGGCAGCGACAACGATTGTGATATATTCTCTAGAAATATTCTCGCAAGAATGAGGGTTCTTTCATGGTTCTTGGAAGAACATCGAATGCCGGCGTGATCGATCGCATTGCCAGCTCCTTGAAGCGATCGAAGAGCCTGTCTGAGGTGAGGCAGATCCATCCGCGAGTGGAGCAGCAACGCAGCACCTATCTCTCCAATCTTTTGCTGGAAGCCTATGGGCGACACGATGCGGTGGAATGCGCGCAGGCACTCTTCGATTCCATGCCCGACCCAAACAATTTCTCCTGGACGTTCCTCCTCTCGGCATATGCGCGGAATGGATATTTCGATGGATCCAAGCGCGTCTTCGATGCGATGGCGCTCAATCGCTGCCACGACGTGGTTTCCTGGACGATCTTGCTCAAAGGCTTCTCAGAGAGTGGCAGGATCGAGGAGATGGAGGAGATTTTCGCCAGGATGCCCGCGAGGAGCGTCATTTCCTTCCACACAGTGTTCGTCGCCCACAAGAACGCCAAGAACTGGGACGAGGCATCCAGAGCGTTTCTCCAGATGCCGGAGCACGATCTCATCTCGTGGACTGGCATGATCCAAAGCTACGCTGGCAGCGGGAGAATCGATCGCGCGGAGGAGATGTTTGGAAAGATCCCAGCGCGCAACACGATGTGCTGCAACTCGATGATCTTGGCATTTGCCGACGCTGGGCATTTTGATCCAGCGAAAGCGCTGTTCGATTCGATGCCAGAGAAGAACGAGGTTTCCTGGAATGCGATGCTGGCGATCGAGAAGATTGAAATTGATGATTTGGATCGCTACTTTGAGAGAATGCCACAGCGTAGCATCGCATCATGGCGAGCGATTGTGGCCGCAAATGCCGCAAAGGGGGATCTTTCCAGGGCCAAGAACACGTTCGATCAAATGCCGGAGCATAGCGCCTCCTCTTGGAGCGCCATGATCGTCGCCTTCGCTCACATAGATCCAATCCACGCCGAGACGATGCTCCACAAGAGCCCTAGCTGGGATCCATCAATGTGGGGAGTGTTAATCCAAGCCTATGCCGAGATGGGGCATTTGGAGATAGCGGCAAGAACCTTAGAATCGATGCCAGAGAAGAGCGCGGGACTATCGACAATCCTTGTCCGGGCATGCCAGGAGCGCGATCAAGCCGTTTTGGCGAAGGCGCTGTTCGATCAAGCGCGCGATCGAGACGCGATTCTGTGGAACACGATCTTGTTCGTGCTTGCCCGGAACGGGGAAATCCCGGCGGCCAAGAGTGTCTTTGCGAAGATGGCTCGGCACAGCGCAGTGTCGTGCACGGAGATGATCGCGGCTCTCGGTGGCGATGGCGATGTCGGGAGCGCTAGGGAGATTTTCGATTCCATGGCCGAGAAAGAAGATATTGTCGCGAGAACCGCGATGATCCATGCATACGCCCGGAACGGGGATCTAGAACAGGCCAGATCGCTCTTCGATGTGGTGGAGCTCCACAGCCGCGATGCGATCCTGTGGAACACGATGATCGCGGCGTACTCCCAGAGCGGCGATCTGGATGAGGCGAGGGAGATCTTGGAGAGAATGCCGCACAGAGATGTCATGGCCTGGACCGCGTTGATGGCGCAAGAGAACGGCGGCCAAGCGATGGCGGTGGTCGCGATCATGCAGCTCGAGGGCGTGGCGCCGAATGGAATCTCCTTCGTGGCGGTTCTTGGCGCCTGTGGCCACGACGGATTCGTGGCAAGCGCTGGAGAGTACTTCCGATCCATGAGGCGAGACTATGGCCTCGATCCAGCGAAAGAACACTACTGCTCGATGCTGCTAGGGCTCGGCCGGGCGGGAATGCTGGATGCCGCCGAGGAGCTCATGGAATCCATGCCATTCGAGCCAGATGCCGCGATGTGGGGGGAGATTCTCAGCGCTTGCCAGATCCACGGCGACGTCGATCGCGCCTGGAATGCCGCGCTGCGGCTTGGCGAGATGGATCCACGCGACTCCGCGACCCATGTCTCGCTGGGAAA